TATCACAATAATATCGTGGACCATCACAATATATCGAATTGCATGTTTCTTTGCTTAAATGAAGAGTTATGGTACAGCAATAGCTAAAAAAGAGGGAACTACATGGACCATGATCCTTTGCTCCATTTCAGTGCAGACTACAAGAAGAAATAATAGTTCTAAGCACTTTTAAGTCTTAGTTCTTTGGGTTAGAGGAAAAAGTAGCATTTTAACAGTTTTAGGTGTTTAGCCTCCACAAAATATCACAATAAATATACTGTGAGTTGTATATCAGCAAAATATCATACCGAAAGCTTTGGATATCGTTACATCTCTAATCGTGAGCCTCCCCACCATATCTTTCATAGCTTTCCCACGATATCACAATAAATATCGTATTGTGAGGTTCATAGCGTGATGATATTGTATCGTGAGACTTGGGTATCGTTACACCCCTAGTTAAGATTTGGAGGCTCTATGTTACACAAAATTGACTCTTGTGAGCTTTAAATCATGTTATAATGCTGTTACCTCCTCAAAAACAAACCTGGAGTTGTGTTTTGTTACATTCACACATGTTTGAGTAACCATTTATTATTAGTCTCTACATGTAGTGGTAGTTTTTTAAGTTAGCAGATACCTTTTACCTTTTGTTCAGTAGAGATTGGCAAATGGGCTGAAATCATCCAAATCATTCTAGTGAAGGTGTATGGAGTTTTAAAAACACAGTTGAGCACTTCCTGTATTACCACAGCACAAGGTGGATTGTTTTCTTTTTGAGAGAATAACTTCAAAATCAGCAGGGTTTGTGTGTTAAACGTGTGAATGAAACAAAACACAATTCCAGGTAGGTTCGTGATGAGGAAACAAGATTATAATATTATATAGGAAGTCAAAAAATAGTGTTATATGGGCCTTTTAAAACAGGAAATGTGTCCTATTACTAAGTTATGTTCAGGTGTTTTAGGGTTGTGGTGATAGGAAATTGTGGTTACAGGGGAAAGTCTCTGCATAATGCTTTCAGGTTGACTCTTTCATATTACTCAAAGCTTTACTCATTACTCACTTCTAATTCTAAGTCTAACCTAAGTGTGGTTTTACTCATACTCATTTTTTTCAATAATTGTTAGGAATTGGTTAGAAAAGAGGGTGTGCTTTTCGAACGTTATCTGAATTCACTCACCCCTGGGTAAAAATGAGTTACAGTCCAGTAAGTGAAACTGGAGATATTATATAAGTGACAAAAACTAATGTAACTGTAAACGGTAGCAGATTTCAGAATAGCAGCGCAAGTAAGTGACGCAAAATTTAAGATGAATTCAAATTAAAAGTGCTGTAAAGATGTTATTTTGACACAGATTGTGATATTTACCTAGGTTGTGTTTCCCTTTCATATGACTGAAGCAACCCATTGCCTCGATAATGTATTTATTTATTTGTTTATTTATTTTATATAGTATAAAAAGACATCAACACTGTCACACATACAAGAAATGAATGAAAAGGAGCAGAAAGAAGAGTCATCTTATGTTATCTGCCCCCATTTTCCTTTTCCAGACAATACATCAACACAATAACACAATATAATTTCAGTTCTTGTGTATGAACTGACAGTGATCAGAGGGAGTATTTTGCAGATAATAGGCTTAGATGAAATTTGGCACAGATATCTTTTTTGTCTCTGTGGCCACGTGTCATTTCTAGACCGTGCGTAAAATCTGATACAAAAAGTGAAAAGTTAATGTGCGATATTTACTTTAACTTTAAACTCACCATTGAATTTGTGGGCCTTGCTATGAATTTTAAAGTGCCCAAACTGAAAACACTTCCTCTGATGCCATGTGGTCATACAGAAAGTGTGCCACTAATCTCTTACAAGAATTATTTGGATGATTTCAGATCTGAAATGACCAATCTCTGCTGAACTAAAATGTTTTTTGGGTTAACAGCTACCATCTCTTCATGATTTCACAAGGTGGAACAGAGCATTCTGAGCTTTTGAGATGTAGACAGACCATTAATAAAGGGTTTCTCAAGCATGTGTGAATGAAATCAAACACAACTTCAAGTACGTTTTGATGGGGTAACAGCATTATAACATGGCTAAAAGCTCACAAGTGTAAATTTTGCGTAACTTATTACCTTTAAAATATCATTATTGGCTCTAAAAATGTATACCTGACCATCCTCAAAAGACTTTTTTCATTTCTGTCACTATATTATTGGGATTTATAAAAGTTATAGTTATAAACACATTAAAAATTCACCCCTGCTTTTGTGGATGGGAGTGAGCAGAGCCTGTGATGAGTCTCTGGTGGGGGTCTCTGGTGGTCCCTCTACTGTAAGTCGTAAATTACAGATTATCTCATCATTGCTCGCACCTCGTCCCATTACAAAGGGGCCAGGGACATGTGCCGGCACCTCTACTGTAAACACCGCGCTCCGGCCCCCTGCTGGCTCTGCTTCTGGAGATGCAGCCACACTTGTCACATGGCTGACTTCACACCTAAAAATGCCGATGAGGGAAGGATCTGGCCTAATTGAGCCTGTTGATTTACGCTAAGGACAACACAAACATGGGGCAGCGCTGGCGGGGGGGGGCACAGGTCAAAGATCTGGGCTCCAGCTTAAGCCCCTTGTGACAGGTTACATGCTTTATAGTCCTGCTCCCTGAGAAGTGCAGAGGACCAGGTCAGGACTTGAATAGTCAGTGGCTGCGTAGTGTTTTCAGTTTGACAACATACAACAGTACACAAAAAACCACAGGCATCAGCTAAACCAGAGATGCATGCCTAAGATTGTGGTTTTGGCAGACAAGACTAGCTATGGTTAACAACAAAAAATAAGTTTGCCTTTTGCTTATGAAGTGCAAATAAACAAATAAACGTTTCCACCTTAACTGATAAAGACATAAATTGCACCATTATATTACATCAAATACTATTGCCAGTTTTATATAATTGTATATTTGACGTTTTGTGTTATTAACGGTATTAACAGTGTAATCAATCACAGTCAGTCCAACAGTGCTAAAACCTGTCTTCAAATGTGAAATTACTGTTTACAAAAAAACGACCCACTTGTTTTTTCCATTTTCGTTTTTAATCAGCTCTTTTGAATTTAAAAAATATATATGTCATATTTAAATTTCTGCCCACCTCTATAACGTCACAAGGTAAATTTATTCATTATTTTGTCCTTTTATTATGAATAGTTTAAGAGCGACTTGCGGAAGGGAAGCTCAGACTTACTGCGGCGTTTATAGAGGTCTGAAAGTGGGAGAACAGTCTGACGTCTGAGGCCTGACACAGCCAATAGGAAATGTTACAGAGCTGAGAAAAGCAGCACTTCACTCAACAGGTCTTTTTATGGCTCCACCTCACCTGGGGCAGTTCAAACACAAGCAGCCTCTTTATGTAGGGCTATAACTAAGTATCCTCTGCCCTGGCCAATACACAAGCCCCTCACCGCAGGATACCCCCAAACAAGATGTCACCCAGACCCCCCTCCTCCCTCCCATCGTTATCTTAAAAGACAAGGGAGAGTCATTAGTGTGGACTTACATTGTCTAGTTTTTTAAGCCTCAGCAGGGGGCCAGGGTAGGTTAGTGCAGATGGGGAATGGAGGGGAAATGTAAACAAAAAGCATTGTTACATATGTGTTTAAAATACTTTTTAATGAGATACTGCAGGTGAATAGGAAAAAAATCTTCTGCTGCTTCTGCTGTGGTTTACTTACAGAAAAATGTGTTACAAGTTTTGCAATGTAATTTATTCATATAAAAATAGAACATTTTATCTGTAAGAATTGACAATTTTTGGGACATTTGAAACTCAAAAATAAATCGAGCCATGTTAAAATTTCTCATCATTCGGTGAAGAGTGAACAAATGTGTGAAATTAAAGCTTGTATGCTAAGAGACCAAACTGACCACAAAAACACAAAATTATTGTGTCCGTTGTACTCTAAAAGCATCTCTGTATTCAAAAACAAATAGAAAATAAAGTATAGAAAGCAAACTTTAAAAAAAAAAAAGTTTATTATTTGTATAATCGCACAGTCAAATAGTTGTAATAATTTAAGTATGACACAAAAGTGGCATGTAAACTACAAACACGCTAAAGTACTTACTTTTGTATATTTATGGAGACTTGTCATGTGGGAGCATGGATGATGTAGGTCTGTGAGCAAAGCATTGGACAAATCTTACAGCTAACCATGAGGAGGGTTTGAAGAGGGCCTGGGAGAGATCGAAAAATTATTCAAACATGTGTGAATGACTTATAAACCCACTTCTGGCATGTTTTTTAATGAGGGAACAACATTATAACATGGTAGAACGTTCCAAAAGGTTTTGCATAACACCTTGCATTGTGTAACTTTTCTGGTGGACGGTCTGTTAAATGCTTGTCTCCATGGAGATGTCATTGCTTTGTCTGGAATGTTTCCCAGTATGGTATTAGGCCTTTCTATTTTCATGGAGACTAAACCAGATTAAGTTACAGGTCAGATCTGTGGAGAGGCAACTATGCTTACAGTAAAATGCCTGTTTTTCTAAGTATTTTTGAGTTATAAAAACACCTGTAATTGAATAAATGTAAGGTAGAAGAGCTATTTAATGCCATACTGTGGAACATACCAGGCAGAGGAATGATATATCCATAGAAACAAGTAGGTGACAGAGCTTCCACAAGAAAAGTTGCACGATGCACCTTTAATATCCACTTTTTTGTATTTATTTTCACAAAAATGTTCATATGAATACATGTCTTTTAGTGTAAATATACATAATTTTATGGTTTGGGGTCATTAATAACAGTGTTTCTACCCTGACTGTGATTTTACATATTAGTACGTTACTTTATATACTCAAATCAAAATGAATAAAAAAAAAAAAAAAAGTCTATCCAGACATTTATTCTCACTTTCCAAAACAATCTTCTTTGAGTACCATATGTATGATTGTAATGTAATTTATTTAATTCTACAAGGCTAAACGGATCTTCACTGTGCCCCTCCAGATTGAGCTGTCTGCTGGGCACAGCAGGGTTGGACAGCACCGATCACAGTCTGCCGCCGTTCTCGTGGCGACCAACTGCTTGTGAGAGGCTTTGGAGACGGTTCCCGCATTCAGGCTGCAGGTGCCTTCGCCGTCCTCCTCCTCTTCCTCCGCCCCCTGCTCCAGGCTGCCTCCATTAACACTGGGAAAGCCCTTTCACCAGCTGGGCCTCAGAGGTTCCTATTCCCACTCCCACACATGCCCCGAACCCCACGAAAAGAGTGAGGTACGACTGCGAGACGTGTGTTGAGTCATAGAGTCGCACAAAAGCGCAATTTATATTTTTATTTTTATCGGCTCTTAATCTGTATTTCCATGTGTGATGTGTGGCTCTGAATTAACCCGACTGAATATTGTGAGATTGGATAGTTTTACCTTAAAGAGACGATATATAGAATTTAGATTTTAAACTTCATAAACCCAGACCGGAGATAGACATGTTCAAATAAAATATAGCATTTACTCATAACACTTTTGATGCTGATTTTTTTTTTTTTATTACAAAAACGTTGGACATGATGACCAATTTATTTGGTGTTTTGTTCAGAATGGGCCTCACATGGATCTCTCATTTTAATTGGCAGTTTCAGTGTTGTAGTCCAGTTAGTTAAACCTAAAAGGACTCGCTCTGGTCTGAATGGTCACCACCTAAACCCAAGCACCTGGCTCATATCAGGCATACCCAGTCCACATACTGTCAATGAGAAAAACATATGTGTGCTCTATAAGTTCACATGGGATTGTAGTATCTTCTACAGTAAGAGCACAGGCTATATAGTTCCTCTGACCTCTGACTAGATAGACCACATCCTATGTCTAGTGTGAAGACATTTAGTGTTCCCGCTATCGCTGTAAAAGCAGAATTTTTTCCACATAATCTGTTTACTTAATTAATCATATTTACTTGTCTATACAGTGTTATTATTTACAATATAAAAATCAAATGTAAATTTTATTTTATTTGTAAGAAATGCAACCATTACACACTACATCCTATAGTTTGGTAAAGCCACTTATATAATTATTACATACATTAGTATGTAATAATGTACATTGGTACATTCACAGAAATCAAGTGCACCCTCAGTTATTCAAAGTGTAATATGAATATATTTAAGCAGGATGGTCTATACAAATGAGGACAAATAACTGTATTAATAAGACAAATACAAGGAAACAATTATTATTATCATTTCTTTGTTTGCTGCCTATTATTTAAAGCATTTCTTATTTGTCTTTATAGTCTTATAGCAAAGTATGTATAAAGAAAAAGGAAAATAATTCAACCAAACTCAATACACATGACAATAGTTGACTTTTTGTCCTGTCTGTCTTGCGTCTGTGTCAGCTGTCAGTGCTGCATACACAGAGTACCTGATGACCCCTGGTGGTGAAACCTTGTCACCTCCACAAACTCTCTATCCAGCATGTTGTGGTCATGCCTTAGATGTAAAATTCATAACTAACACATAACTGTCTACTTTAAAAATAGGCTATAGGGCATTTCTACTTTAAAATGGCTGAGATTTGTTGTTAAAGTGAGGCTAAGCAAAACTGTCAGTCTGGGAGAATGAAATAGGGCCAGAGACGCTATATGAGTGGACAGCTGGCAGTTAGCATTTGTGGCTGTCTCCTGTAATGTCAGCTCGCACTAGATAGGCTCGAGCTCTGTCTAAATAGCAACATGAATTCACAGCTATTGTCCCTCACATACACAGACCCACGCACCTGTCTGCCAACTGCCAGTGACCAGCAGCAGGCGATGTGCGAAACACAAGCAGAGCTGTCCTCTGTGCCACATGCGCTGGTTGTCCACTTAGACAGATGCATGAGGCTGTATCAAACACTGTACTCTGAAAATCTCTAAATATGTGACAATTGTGACAGTAAAAGATGGCCTAAGTCAAAATAATATAAAATAACACATAACCAAGATTTAAAGGAAAATAATGTAAAAAAAAAAAAAATACACATTACCAAGATTTAAATGTATGTATTGTTTAATTTCTTAATAAAAAACCCATAATAAACTGTTCATAATCAATTATCTATGTATTTTTATTGCTATAGAGTTATGTTTTGTTTCATTCCCACATGTTTAACACAGAAATCCTACACATTTAGAATAAGTTCTTCTCTCAAATAGAAAATACTACAGCTTGTGATGTTATGTGATAATACAGGAAGTGATCCTCTGTGTTTTTAAACTCCATAAACCTTCACTAGATTCATTTGGATGATTTCAGGACTGGAATTGTCAATATCTACAGAACAAAGGGTAAAAGGTAGCTGTTCACTTGAAAACTCCCCCCAAAGCTCTCGTTTTACCAGTCAATCTACTTTCCCACCCTCACCTATGGTCAGGAGCTTTGGGTGATGACCGAAAGGACAAGATTGCGGGTACAAGTGGCTGAAATGAGCTTCCTCTGCAGGGTTGCTGGGCACTCCCTTAGTGACAGGGTAAGGAGCTCAATCACACAGGAGGAGCTTAGAGTAGAGCTGCTGCTCATCCACGTCGAGAGGAGCAAGCTGAAGTGGCTCGGGCATCTGTTCTGGATGCCTCCTGGGCATCTCCCTCGAGAGGTGTTCTGGGCGTGTCCCACGGGACGGAGGCCCTGAGGAAGACCCAGGACACACTGGAGGGACTATGTCTCTCGGCTGGCCTAGAAAAGCGTTGGGGTCCCCCCGGAGGAGCTGGAGGAAGTGTCCGGGGTGAAGGAAGTCTGTGAGTCCCTGCTTAGACTGCTGCCCCCGCCTGCAGCCCCGGATAGGCGGAAGAAAATAGATGTATGGACAAGTCCAAGTATGTTTTTGATGAGTTAACAACATTCTAACATGGCTTAACTGTACACTTTGTAACTTTTTAGAGAGGGTCTGCAACCTGTTTGTCTCCATGGAGATGTTAATGCTTTGTCTTAAATTGTCCACAGTATCTGCATTAAACTAGTCTGTCTTGCATTCATTCAACTACAGGTGATATTTATTGCTCAAAAATACCTTAAAAACACTCATTCATACTGTGAGCGGGGTTGCTTCTCCAAAAATCTAACCTATAATTTGGCTTGCAAGTCTCCATGGAGATTCTTAAGTTTATGGCCATACTGTGGAACATTCTAGGCACATCTCCATGGAAAAGCAGGTGAGGGACCCTCTGGCAGACATGTTATACCGTGCACCTTTAAAGCTCACAGGAGTCAATTTTGTGTAATATAGGACCTTTAACAATCAGTCTGACAAGAGTCTAGACTTGAGTGTGCTCTTCTCCTAACTCCCCTTCAATGCTTCTCCCCTTCCCTACACTTATTCCCTGTCAGCTGAGGAGGCGCTTCTTTTAAACAGCCTGGACATGGAATCATCCCTTCACCTGCTCCGGGAGGCCTCAGCACGACAGGTGGAGCCCCCGGCCATGTTGTCTATCAGCCGGCAGAGCGGCGTCCCTGTGAAGCACTGAGCCGTAAAACACTTCAAACTGACAGAAGCTGCAGATAAGGAGGGCACTGCCATGATTTCTCTGCCCACGACGACCGCTGCTGAAGATGCCACCGATTAGATTCACGTGAAGGAAGCAGGAGGACGGGGAGATGGTGCTGCGGATTTGTTTGTTTTTTAGCTAGACTGGATTGGATGTACATAAAAGTATTACAGTATTACATGAGCCTTTCAAGTAATGGACACATAATACGACAATGATATTTAGAAGAAAAAACTTACAACATCAGGTCCCATTGGGCATCGGGTCCGCGTTCTGTTTTAGATGAACATTGAAATTTAAAATATGCAAATGTAATGCAAACATAATGATCCACATGTGTGATAGATTATAACAATATAGCAGATGCAAGCACAAGCACAGATCTTCTTTACTGCACTACTATTATGTAACTTTTCCTGGATTGTCTGCCACATGCTTTGCCTGAAAGGTGTATAAAAAATAAGGCAATATAGTGGATTCACCTGTCCACAGATCTGACTTATAACTTGGCCTGTTGGAGCTGCCTGCTTGTCTCCATGCAGATAAGAAGTTTAACTGTCAGACATTTAATAACATCTCCATGGAGACACGCTTCATGATTTATTAAGTCTAATTAAGTTGTAGTTATAAAGGGTAACTGAAAAGGATTGCTAGAAATTTTCCACTGCACTCAAATATCAATAAAAGTCTAATTAAAAATATATATTTATCATCCTTTCTCTACATTATGACTAAACAGAGCAACCCTTCATGTGTTTTCTAATGTTGCAGTGGCAGCAACCTGCTCGTGGTGGAACAGCTGTGCGCCCGCTCTGATTGGAGCTCGTCCTTGGCTGTGACCTTGCTCTCCCTCTGCCCACGGCGCCGGAACCGTGCGACGCTCCGCGATCAATTTGAGCTGCCGAGGAAGAGAGCATATGGTAAGACATGATTTACGCCCAAACACGCACAGAGTCCCAATACACACGCCCATCCCAACGCGAACCCCCAACTCGCAAACATACAAACAAGCTCTTACATAAATTATGACGCTGTAGCACCAGAGCGGAATTAACTGATGTGAGATCGAGGTTTAACAAAGACAGGTCCAAGAAAGCAGGGGAGGAGGAAGCTGAAGGAACAAATCATTTAGAGATAGACAGATAGTATTAGACAGTTTAACACACATAGAATAATAAAATAAACAGTTATAGAAAGTGAATTGTGCAATGGAGGAAAATCATTGGCAAGCTCCCTTGCACAATATTCATTCTGCAATAGAGATGTGCATAAATAAATAAAAAGAACAATATATTGTGTTAAGTGCCAATGACAGGTTGAACAACTAAAACACAGTTAAGATTATGTTATATTTACATTATATTTAAAATGTCACTAATGGTCATGATAATGGTCACATTTTTATACAGCGCTTTTCCACCTTCAAGGCACTCAAAGCGCTGTACAACAAAGAGCCACTCACCTATTCACGCACCAGTGTACGCAGACACTGGGGGGCAAGGTGAGTTATGTGTCTTGCCCAAGGACACAACGACAGTATTGATCTGTGGGATCTGGAAGCACACCAGCAAACCTGTGGGTCAGTGGATCTGACTGCTCAACCATCAGTGGATCTTTTCTCTGCTCTACCAACTGAGCTACTGTTGCCCTCCTCCTCCTCCTCCTCCTCCTACTACTACTAGTACTAAAGATTGAAATTTTTCCCCAATTTGGCAATTGTTACATAAAAAAAAATTATATAGTTATGGTCTACGTCACCATCATCATTATGTTATAATTTGCAAATTTAAAATCTCAATATTCATCTAATAAAAGAAACAAGTCAGCCGAAAAGAAACTGCAATGCTAAATGAGATCTGACGTTGCCGGTCCTATATTACACAAAATTGAACCTTGTGAGCCATGTTATGCTGTTACCTCCTCAAAAACAGACCAGGAGTTGTATTTTCTTTCATTCACATGTTTGACTAACCCTTTATTATTAAACTATCTCCAAAGCTCAAAATGCTCTATTCCACCTTGTAATGTTATGAAGCAGTCATTTCCACCCCGAGTTCAGTAGAGTTTGGCAGTTCCAGGACTAAAATTAGCTAAATGATTCTAGTGAAGGTGTATGGAGTTTAAAAACACAGTGGAGTGCATCCTATATTACCACATGAATGACATCACAAAGTGAAGTGGTTTCTGTTTCAGTTTATAAACCCTAAATATGCAGGGTTTTTGTGCTAAACATGTGTGAATGAAATAAATCACAACTCCGGGTTTGTTTTTGATGAGGAAACATTATAACAGATATTATAACAGTTTATTATGAGCCCTTTATTAATTATTAATTTAAAAAAAAACAGCATTTTTGTTATGTTCTCTAGATTTTTCTTTCCCATGCCCAAACATGGTGTTGATGTTCCTATAGGTGTTTTCTTGTCCTTTGCTCTGGCCTTGTAAACAGATATTGAGCTTTATTTCCGCTTTGGTCCTGAATCGTGGCTTTTGCACGTCTATACTGTCCCTTTAATCTCCTTCCAAATGCACTAACTCCTCATTCCATTATATTCAGTCGCTCACACCATTCAGGCTGAAAATTCCGCACCTTTCTTAAGCAGATTCTCTCCAACGTGCTATAATCCATCATGTGTGCCGCTGCAGGACAAATCTGCACAATGTTACCAGCGCTTTTCGAATCCGCCTGATGCGCCCTGACCTTTGACCCTCCATCACGCTGCGCAGAGGTCGGGTCTGCTGGAGGTGGGTGAGGGGATTGCTTTGTAGTTCTGTTATAGGCTTGTGATAAAAGTGCTGTCTGACCGCGCAGACCTCCCTTACAGAGGGGTCAAGCAAACTGGGATTTAAGCTGCGAGAGCCATGAATTGTATTGTGGTTTATTGTGGCTGAGCAATATGACCAGTGCTGGAAGGTAACCAAGTACAAGTAGTACTGTACTTTTGTAAAATTTTTAGGTATCTATAATATACTTAAAGGTGCACTATGTAACTTTTTGTTTGGGGCTCCATCACCTGCTTGTTTCTATGAATATGTCACTGCTCTGCCTGGAATGGTCCACAGTATGACATTAAGCCCAATTTACGGTCGACATTAAGCCCAATTTATGGTCGCCGAGAGTCTGCGTCTGCCTTGAACCCTCTCCGCAGAGCGTCGACCAACATGCACCTCCAAATTTTTTTAACTATGTGTCAAACCAACGCAGACAGCAGTGAAAGTGACGCAGACAATAAGGGCTGTGATGTGACATTGCTCTACATACATTTCCGGTACTCCGCATTCCCGCTTTATTTTGTAAACACAAACACCATTTTTAAATCCTAGCCTCTTAGCCTTGTGGGGGTGAATTACTTTGCATTGCATAGACCTCGATGCAGATTCATAAATCAAAAACTACAGCAACAAGGTGACGTCGGCACTGTGCTTTGAGTCGACGCAGAGCTATAAAACGGCCTTTAGAACATTACATTTACATTTATTCAATTACAGGTGATTTTATAGCTAAAAAAATACCTAGAAAAACAGGCATTCTGACTGTGACTGGGGTCGCCTCTCCACAGATCTGACCTGTAACTTGGTCTGGTTTGGTTTCCATGAAGATAGAAAGGTTTAATACCATACTTTGAAACATTCGAGACAAAGGAAAAACATTTGAAGCATTTGACAGACCCTCCACCAGAAAAGTTACACAATGTGCCTTTAGTAACCTTGGGTCGCCAGTGCGTTAACCTGGAGATAGAGGTCTCATGTCCAGTATATTTACAGGACATGTCTCACGTGAAAGCTTGGAATATCCAGAATTCACTCACACGGATTCATGATCAGCTGCAGGTGGTTTTCAACTGGATTTTCACATTGGAAATAGCAACCTAAGTGAGAGACTTACATGAGGCTCATTCTGCTCTCTTGGGGATTGGGATTGGGTAGTTGTCTTGAGAAACTAATCACCAAATTTTAGCATTAACAACATAGTCCTCATCATGTCCAGTGTTTTTGTAACTAAGAATAAATTAGCGTTACAATTATCAGTAAAAGTAAAAGCTGTATTCAATTTGAACTTTGTATCTAGGGCCAGAGTTAGGTCAGATTGATGGAATTTAAAATCTACCATTTAGACTGGTTTACTCATCCCTGTTGTATTTTCACCTGCCACCACTAGAGGCTGTCTACTTTACTGCTGTCTGATAGTGTGCTAGCTTTGGCCTGACAGAGGAAGAGCAGAGGACACAGGTGAGCCTGGACAAATGCCAGGTGAGCGGAAGGGGGAGAGGATTCACATCTGCCATCTACTGGTAAAAAAAATAAAAAATTTGAATAAACGTACCGCTAAAATGTGTATTTAATACGGATGCAACGATATCCAAATCTCACGATACAATATTATCACGATATGTGTCTCATGGTACGATATTTATTTTGATATTTTGGAGAGGTTAAAAGAATTGTACATATGCTATTTTTTCCTTTTTAAATCCTTTGACCAGTCTTCAGTGTGAATATTACTGTCATATCCCAAAGAAATAAGGTTTAAAAGTGATTAATAACTGTAAATTAAGTAAAGGATCATGGCCTATGCTGTCCAGGCTGGATTCCACCTAGTGCCTCCGCTCAGTTTCATTTCTCTCCTGCAACTAGATCAGGAATCAAAATAAATCGCAAAAACCCCAGAAGTGCAAGTTCGGGCACCAGCCAATCAGCGAAGAGCCATATATTCAGTGTTGGCAACGATTCTCAAGATCGAGGATTTAAAGCCAGAATAAAGAGAATGTTTGGTGAATTTCATCAAAGGGAAAGACGTTATTGCCCTTCTTCCTACAGGATTTGGGAAAAGCTTAATATACCAGCCAGCCCCGTTAAAAGCGCATTACATACATCACGAATAAATCGCAGCAATTGGTTAAATGATAAAAAGTACCCGCCTACCGTCAAGCGAATGAATCCTAAGACTGCAAGGTCAGACGGTTTCTACAAAGTGAAATCAGTTCCCTCTAATACTTTTAAGTGAAAAACCTTGCAATTTGATATAATGTGACAGTCCATGATATTATTGTGAGAGTTTTGAGGATACCATATCACGACATTTTGGTTAGTGTTACATCCCTAATGTTTAATAAAATATATTGTATCATTTATATAAATATGATGTATTTAATATTTTAAAATAGACTTAAGATGACCGTCATGCTTACTTATTGAGAGTGTATCGTTCTTAATGGCTAGAGTGGAATCTCAATAAGATCTATCCATATACTTTTACAAGATTTCCTCTAAATAACTACTAAAAGTGAAAACATCTAAACCGAAAAAGTTAGTCTCGAGCTTGTTTTTAGAACATTTTGATACAGTACACAGCGTTATTAAAAAATACTCAATACTAAGATCTTTGCTGTAATGACATTTTTATTCAGGGATAGGAGCCCTAAGTGATTTCATGTGCTAATGCAATGGATTCGGCTGTCCCCACGGCAACGACGCTGTGCTCATTAGGGTTTCTAGTCATGAATGTAGCAGGCAGTGAATGGGGTCGTTAAATACATCATCAAAGAGGAGGGACCGCTCGCTCTCGTTACCAGTTAAGATAACACGGAAAGCGCAGAGTTTATGATGAGATTACCGTGGCGTGGGGGTTACACGGTGACGACTGCACGGACTTTTGTTTTTGTGTGAGTGTGTTAATGGATTTTCTATATCTATAAGTGAAATTACATATGGCCTCCACTAATACCACTGGTAGCACAAGTTTTATCTGTTCCACTGCACATTTTCCCCGTACTAAAGGTTAATTCTGGGGTCATTCTGTATTGGCTTATTGATTCATATAGAACTAATGAGCTTTACGAATTAAGCAGCCTGTGAATGCCTCAATCAAATGTCTTTTTTTTTTTTTTTTTGCAATATTTAGTTTGTTATTTAGTGAGTC